GATCGCGGCGCGATTTTTTAGCGCGAGTCGCGCCGCGATTTCATCGCGAAAGTTGACTTGGGCATATTGTATGAAGCCTCGAAAGATCTTCAAAAACGTTTGAAGATCTTTCGAGGGTGCTTCTTTATGGTCAATGTCGACAATGAGTATTTGGAATACTCATTGTCGACATTGACCATAGAGGAGCTCGATCGTCTGGCAGTTATTGCTCCCACTCGAATAGAAGCACATCAGTGGTCGGGTGCCAAAAATGTACTGGTCCTTTCCGTGTGTACCCAGATCCATGATTACGACCGTTGTATACGCCAAATTAGCTCGCCCTAATTTGACGCATACTATAGTATTTCGTCGTATTTTAACGTAAACCCGGCGAACGTATTACGTCAATCGTTACGACTATCGTATTTCAGCGTAAATGACATGGTTTACGATTGACGTAATACGTTGGCCGGATTTACGTCAAATATGACGAAATACTATAGTATACGATCGTGAGTCTTTGACCGAGGTACGACGAACAGCCCATCGACGCACAGATTTGATTGTAAAAAATCCTTGTTTTCTCCGAAAAACTCTGNAACTCTGTTTTCCAATAAGAAACGGGTCCGCTAGAGAACGGACCTTAAAAAGAACACTTTTTTAGGGTTCATTCGCTTGAAATATCCCTAGAGGATCGCCTACGGTGTAAAAAACCGTCAAGAGCCATTGATTCTACGGAAATTTATTACAGTGTGCTCAACACAATCTTTATTTTGAAAATGTTACACCGAAAAATGATTTGAAAATAATTTGAAAAAGTGTTAGTCCGAGTGAACTCGACGAGTCCTACTGAACCAGACATAATTAATTAAATTAAATCCTGCTTTTATTTTGAATTTCTTGCACATGTTCGGAAGAAATACGCGCTTGAAATGTTCAAACTTGAAACTGAATTCCTGCAAAGCCTAGTAAATGTGAGTGAAGGCGTCTTTTCTTTATGCGTGGTTACTTTTCCTTCAAATTTTACGATTCATCATGCCGATTTGTGGTGGTTACTGGCTGTTCCGGTAAAAACAACCGTTTTCAAGTCCGCTTTGAGGAGCATTGATGACATACAAGATTATATCGGCGCCAAGTTCGGTAGGACGAGCTTTCCGCTTCCCCCTCCCCCTTGACGTCCGCCCATTCATGGTTTTCCTGTCGCCACGCTACTAACTTTTTAACTTTCAGCAATTATCAGTGTGGTTTTCACAAGGCGATAGCGACCATAATTTTTAGCTTGCAATGCAATATAAGTGTATTTTTAGCATCATTTTCTTTATGTAAAATTATTATCAGGTCGAGACATTCATTAGAATTAAAAGTAACAGAAATATAAGTTTAAGTGTTTGTCCGTTTCGTGGCAGAGTCTATTAATATTTTGTGAAGAAATTTGTTACATTTATCATGGACATCATCAAGTGCTTTGACATTTTCTGGATCACTGAAATTCGCACGCGCAGATGCAAAACCATGACGCATATTTGAATATACTTTATATTCACATTGGCTACCAAATGATTTTTTATTTAAAACAGTCGCTATATCGGTTAAAGGTAGATCATTGCCAGCTGCCAAAAGCATCATCGGACGTAGAACATTTTCTGCTTCTCCTACTGTCAGTGATGATCCATGAATACTGATACCAGCTGAATAATCATTGGATAGTTGACCACATGCTCGTAAGACTTGTAATCCACCAAAACAAAATCCCAATATAGCCAACTTTTTCGCTCCATCTTTTTTCAACTGATCATTAACTGTACGTAAATCTTTTTCAATTTGTGACCAGTTTCCAACTTTAGCCATCCATGCCTGCAGTTCACTCGTATTCTCCGGAGCAGCTGTTCCTAAACAAAGAGTTAGTACACAGTCTTAGAGTGTACACGATGTCTATTTTGAAGATCTACCTCTAAATACATCAGGCATGCAGACTCTGGCTTTATACTCGAATGATAATCTATCACAGAATATTCTCGTTTGAGAAATGTTGAAACCTCGAATATCGTACACAACAACAATAGCTGTTGAATTAGAGTAATTCGACCCAACATCATAAACGTTTAAATCATTTATGGAATGAACATAACCTTTAGGATAATTATTTAGGCCTAAACAAAAAAAAGCTGTAGTTCGTAAAGAGATTAAACAGACGCTTTTCTACTCTTTCCGTTGGTTATTGGAAAATATTGTCGTTCCAATCCCAAATCATATTCAACATCTATAAAATACAAATATATTTTCTTGTCTTTCTTCCGTTTGAATTAAACTTACTGATTGCTTTTAAAATGGGTAACGTAATTAATGTGAGAAATAGACAGACTTGCATCATTGAACAAAATTATCTAAAATAAAGTCTACATATTTTAAACTTTAAAATGTTAACATATTTGTGTTTGATTTAGTGATCTTATCCGGTTATAACGAAACAAAAACCTAACCTTTTCCTTTCATAAATTTTGACTAAGAGCAGCATTAGGCCTGTAGCAACAAATGTAAATGATAAAACTTTGGTCAAAAAGTTTACATATTACATTTACAATCTTATTTTTATCAGCTGCGCAAGAACGCAATTGCGTTCTGGCGCCGCTGATAAAAATAAGATTGTAAATGTAATATGTAAACTTTTTGACCAAAGTTTTATCATTTACATTTGTTGCTGCAGGCCCAGTATAACAGCAGCTGATTTAATCATTTTGTAATACTTTTCGACGTTTCGATCTTTTTAGAAAATTATGTTCAAGGGTGACCGTCCCACACATACAAACTTTATAAAAAAATGAATGGAATAGCCTATATATATATATATATATACAGTATCGACAAATTCTTTTTCCTTTCTTCACATTGCTTTACTTTCACACGTCTTTTCTGTACAGCCTGTTCCACAAATAGCATTTGTGGATCTTCATGGATATTTTTGATCTTCAGCTCGTATTATCTCTACAACGATGACACATGAAAATACGAAACTTGCCGTAGAAGTAGATAACATAAATGTTTGGTACGTAGCTCAATAACACTTTATTTGAACTTATCATTGCGATTCTGTGAATACTACACGTGTCGGTAACGCACTCATTTAAAAGCGCCGTCTTTTCCAGTACAATGCAAAAAAGTTGAAATTGCAAATTTCGCCGCGATGGAATAAAAATTTTTGTATGGTTTGATAGCTAAGAAAAAGGGCTTTATGAGGAAAAAAAGAAAATTTCTAGGTGTTTTTCTAATCAGGAGTTATATTAAGAACGTTGAGATAACGCGCTCACGTGTTTGATAACGCGCTCACGTGTTTGATAACGCACTCATGCGGTTTTTTGAAGCTCTCTAAAAATCATATATTTACAACATTGACGATAACAGAAGTTGATCTACTGATGCAAAACCGTATCTTGAGCTTCAACATGACTATTAAAGTTTCCATTTTCGTCCGAGAAAAGATAGTGTTCGAAATATGAGAAGCGACAAACAAGCATTTTAAAGCTATTCTTGCACAAAAATGCTTAATTTTGGCTAGTAACTACAATTTATTCTCGTAATTATTAAAAACAAATGAGAGAAATCGCCACAGAATATACGAAAATCTACATAAAAACCTTAAATGAATACGATCGATTGTTTTGTGTTCCAGAATTTCAGTATTAAACTTTAATCACTCTGGTTGACCATTAGCTGGACAGGCCGTATAGTTGATGTCATTTTCTGTTCTATTCCTTTCTTTCCACAATTTATAGGACAACAACGATTTCTTAACTCTTCTGGAAGTATTGTCATAGGCACCAAATACGTTGTACAGTTCAAGGAAGGTTCGAGCGATTTGACGTGTAAGCAATGTAAAGAAAAAGACAGAAAGGAAAAGAAAATTTGCCTATACTGTATATATATATAGCCTATTCCATTCAGTTTATTTATAAAGTTTGTATTTGTGTGACAACCTTGAAAATGATTTTCTAGAAAAATCGAAACACCGGAAAGTATTACAAAATTATTAAATCAGCTGCTGTTATACTGCTATTCTTAATAAAAACATAACTGTTTTTTCTTTTTCTTTCAGCAGTTGAAAGACAAAATTTTACCTGTACTGTTATATAACATTTACTTTTTGTATTGTTTGCATCTGTTTTTTTCATACGAAAACGCAGCGTTATTACCATATTTTTTCATCACCATTATCGATTTCACGTATGACTGAGATTTTATTTGGACAACAGACGCACAATTTTTATTTGAATCTAACAAAAATTATCAATTTGTTTCTCGTTTGAAATGTGGCGTACTAAGTTGGTAATTTGTTTGGCGTATCAATTATTCAAAATATTCTCATTTAATTTGTGCGCTTTCATCAAAAGAAAAATCTGGTAAAATATACATACAATGTGTTAGTTCCGATTCACAACATATGAGCACTGCTAATCATTTAAAATTAAATTAAACTTTTTTTTGAAAAATTTTTCTCATAGTGTAAAATGATTTTCTAGAATCTTTTTACCAAGTGAATTTTGTCGATTAAACATTTCTCTACAAAATGACATATGCTAGCACTTTTCTTCTTCATTCAGTGGTTAGATAAAAAATGCTCACTATACTGAGTATGACAATCAGATAACTTGATTCATGTTCCACCGACAATGTTTAGATAAAGCTAAACACTTTGAAATATTGAACGAATCTAATATTCCTTGTGCTTAATGAATATTTCAGTAACAAGTTTCTAACATATCAAATTAATTAACTTCTATTATTATTTTAAAATTTGTCAAATGAGAATGAACAATATTATGAGATTTAAGATTTTAACTTTTTCAAATACCGGATTTTAGACATTCGCTCTAAAACCACCGAAGAGGCACAATATATATCGCATATTTGTGGTGTGATCCATTATTTTACAAAATCGAATGTTGATAAATCAAATTCATCAATTAGTGAGAGATGGTTAATAGTAGAAACAATATAACGATTTCTCTGAGCAAGTGCAGCGATAAAAACATATCAAAGAGCCACAATAGTAATTTTTTATGGGTTTCACTGTGTGTATTACATCTGTTCCATTTTGCGATACACCGAATATAATTATAAAAATAAATATAATTTAGTGCAGTGTTCTTTATTCAGAATTAGTTGATTATTATTCTCTCGGAAGAATAATATCAGCACTGATGCGTGATGTTCTTTCTCTCTCAATTCGTCTAATGCTGATTTAATAACAAGATTTGATACCAAATTTAAATTTGCCAACTCCATATTGGTCATCGATGATTTGTTATGACCACCATTCAACCATTGTTGAATTGCTGCTCTTCCATACGCAAATCCATCAGCACAAACAACAGGATCAATAAATAATTCTTTTGTTAATATGAACATGTAAAACATGACAACGTATTATTCGGTGATTGTATTGATTGTAATTGTTGTTCAACATATTTTTGTTGTTCTCGCTCGGCTATTATTGACGATTGTTGTATTGTCTGTTTTTTTAATTTCCGGTGAGATTGTTTCTAAATAATGTGCAAAATTTCTAATGATTTTCAAATGCTACTTCAGCTGCTGTTTTATTATCATTAGTTAATAACAACATATTAAAATGATATGTATCTAAATTTTTTAGTTCATCAAATTCACGAAGATTGTTAACATACGCCAGATGATGTATTAAATAATATTTTCTACATGATGGTTTCATATTAACTAAATTGATACTCGTTTGATTTAACATTTGTTTACACTGTTCAGTTTGATTATGTTTTGCATAGTCAACAAATTTATCAAGTTCATTTAATTCTTTTATTCTTTTATAGTGGCATGGCGATTTTTATATTGTACCATCATCAAACGCCCAAATAATACCGTCGGCTTGGTAAGATATTTATCGTTCTCGTCAGTGGCTCGGATTTAATGATTTTCTGGTGTGGCAACAATCCTTTTTCTAGTGCTGTCCTCTGTCCTCAGTCAATTTATGTTAAGATGTAATGAGTTCGCCTCCTTCTTCTCATAATTTCTACTGATTTTTTTCAACATTTCTTCTAAATAAATAAAGTTTATATCAACAATCCTTTTCGCTAGTTGCACCATCACAATCATGTAGCTGTCCTGCTGGCCTGAAACAATATTCATGTAAACATTTGGTTGGATTGGCAATTTTTTAACTTGTATCAAGTTAGCGATAAAACACGTATTCAACCATTAGGCAAACGAAAAACAAAAGCACGCCCCAAGAAAGTGATCACAGCTTTAAATTTGTAAATAGATGTAAGGTGCAGGCAATGCGAAATTCAAGTAAAAATTTGTTTTGCCGTTTTTTTTACATCATTTGATAGAGTGAGAGTTGCTGATCACGAAAAACAACTTTTTACCTTACACAAATATCTTTTTCAGGTCGGAAAATA